AATATAAAGCCATTGGCATCAGGGAGAAGTGCATCAGACCTGGTAGGGCGACTCGAGACTGGCTTCATCCGAGAAGATCTGAAGAGATTTCAGCGGCCAATGCGGTGACAGAGAGGGTGCTTAGGACAACTCCGGGATATGGGCCTTTAGCTTTGAATAGCTTTGATGTTGGGGCCTACAGGAAAGCTTTTGGTGAAGCCTGTTGATTGATGTTGGCCAATCCATTCAATCAACCTTTGACATTCATAGCATGTTGATTTTGATGAAGCATCAAAAGAAGCTCCACTTGTGCCCATTCGGTCAGACTCATAGACCAAAGAGGCAGCGTAAACAAAGATTTCAGCTGCCAACTGAACTTGCGGCAGTGTTGCAGCCACATTCAAAAGTGAGCCGGGTTGGTGGACGAGCTTTTGGTGAAGCCTGTTTGATTGATGTTGGCCAATCCATTCAATCAACCTTTGACATTCATAGCATGTTGATTTTGATGAAGCATCAAAAGACGCTCCACTTGTGCCCATTCGGTCAGACTCATAATAGACCAAAGAGGCAGCGTAAACAAAGATTTCAGCTGCCAACTGAACTTGCGGCAGTGTTGCAGCCACATTCAAAAGTGAGCCGGGTTGGTGGACGAGCTTTTGGTGAAGCCTGTTTGATTGATGTTGGCCAATCCATTCAATCAACCTTTGACATTCATGTTGATTTTGATGAAGCATCAAAATAAGCCCCACTTGTGCCCATTCGGTCAGACTCATAGACCAAAGAGGCAGCGTAAACAAAGACTTCAGCTGCCAACTGAACTTGCGGCAGTGTTGCAGCCACATTCAAAAGTGAGCCGGGTTGGTGGACGCAACGGATTATGTGGCTCAACTGGCTTGGTGAGTTTTCTTGGACATCTACATGTTACAATATGTTACATATATCTACGTACTAGCTGTATGTCTTGCTTGCTCACTATGGAGGCAGCCAATGAGGCAAGTGATAAATCACCAGACACTAAATCTGGAGATCCTCCTCATTGCAGCTGGTGTCAGGAAGCCACAGGCGCCTTACACAAGCTGCTGGCCTGTGGACTGATGGACACTGACGCACAGGCTGGGGTCACAAACCCGGGAAAGAGATTTGCGATGTCAAAGACCCATGGGACCATTGTTTTAAAATATAGTTTTGGAGATAGAGATGGATTTGTCAGAGCATGTCAGAGCTATGTTTCTGCGGTGAAAGCCAGAGTAGCAGTGTTTGATCATCCAGCGCAACGCGGTTGCGGAATGTGAGGAGTCCATGGTGGATGCTGCTGCGCGGGTGTATTGTTTTTGCGCAGCTGGATCCCAGGCTTCACCGGCTACCCAAGTTTCTGTTCAGCAGAAGACATCCTCGGGTAGACCGGGTAGACCAAATCATCCTGTCTGGAACTTATCCAAATCCTGCTGTTGCTATCTGTCATGCAAGCACAGGGGTATACACACTATCTGATTCAAAATATGGGGGTTTCCCATTCCATGGGGTGCCCCTAGTTATCATCCATATTTATAGCATTTTTCATTTTTGGGGGTACCAAGAAGCCATATTATTTTAGGAGATATCATCCATATGATATTCCCCATCCATGATTTTCCACATATATATTTTCCATTGTGAACCAATCATATAATGGATTGTTCATCCATGTTTATAGGATTTTCCATTATAAACGAACCATTTTGGGGGTCCCCCCAAAGCTTGTTGGACCTGTTGGAGGTGCCTGAGGAGCTCCAACTCTCAGTCCGCGACTTGGGGCCCTACTTGGCGCAGGCGCCGCCTCGGTTCCGCTGGGTTCAAAGATGGGAGTGTCCATAGCCATGGGGGGACCCACACATGGATGGTTTACAAGGGAAATTTCAATTGAAATGGACTATTAGGGGATATTCCCTATTTCAGGAAACTTCCGCAAGATATACAACAATGGGACCAGGAATTCTGGGGATATGACTGTATATACATGAGGGTTTACACGGGGGATGGCGGTAGCTTTTCAATAGGACCATTCCAAACATGTCGAAAAACCATCCAGCCAAAAATTGGTATCTCCATTTTTGGAAACCTCCACATGTGGTGGTTTCCTAAAATATGGGCCCCTAGTTATCATCCATTTAAGATCATTTAAGTGGGATTTGCCAGTATAAACCAACCATTTTGGGGTACCTCCACTGGTGGAAACCCCCACAGCACTGAAATTGTGTAGCAATGCTTTTGCGCTCGTGCCAGGCAGTGGTGAGACAGCCTCGGGAGGAGGCCGGGCAAACTTTGGTTGGATTAGTGTTTTTTCTTTTTCCACAGAGCAACTTTAATCTTGTAGGGTCTTGTTCATAGCTTTGCGGCCATGTCCCCCCAAGGAAAACCCCCCAAATGCATGCTCATGTCTGAGTCTTATTCTGGCAGTGGAATGTGACTGTCACATCAATGGCAGAACCAAGAAATAAGAAGAAATAAGGCTCAATAAGGTCAAAATGCACCAAAAAAACCTTATTTGATCTTTATTTAGGCTCAAAACGGGCCTTATTTAGGCCTATATAATGCTCAGAGAATTTCGCAAGAATAGCGATCAAATGGTTGGACACATTCGGGCCACAGTGAGGCTTATAAGCACCAAATAAGACTTAAAAATAGCACTCGGTGATTTTTGGCATTGAGCATTATTTGGGTCTTAAATTGTAGAAAAATGAGGCTTAAGTATGCTCAAGTCCAACTTCGCTCCAGAATCAGCAACCCACGGCCAGCGATCCGTTTGATTTCAAACACAAGAGGAGCATGCTCGAAAATCAGTTTGTTCCAGTGACCCACATCACCTGGATAGCGTTTTCCATTTTATGCGTTCCCTTCATTTCCCTTTATGTTTGGCCCCAAAATACATTTGAGTGCTAAATTTTGTTGGGAAGATCCCTCAAGATTCCTGCAGATTTAAGCGCAAAATTTGTTTAGGGCAAGCAACAAAAAGGGCCAAAAATAGCGCTCAATAAGCATGTTTGAGAGAAATGAATTTGGGGGGAAGCGTTCGGGGGGTCCTGAAAATGACCCTATGACTTGTAGGATTTTTTGTCAGAGATGTGCACGAACCGTTGGAACGCAATTGGGCGTCCCTTTGAAAAGCGATAGACAACCTTGGACCAGCCATGAATGTTCAGTAAACCTGGCGTGAGCCAAGCAAATTGTGTTCTGCACGTTCACAGAATGGGCAAAACTGATGAGAGAAATTCAACCTGTGGTGCTTTCTTTCCTGCAGTTACCATATCATGTGGCATCCAGCTCGCTCGCTGTCTTTCTTTTCTTCGTTCATTTGTTCGTTTCTCTTTTATGTTTTTTTTCGTTTTGTCCTTTCTTTCTTCCTTTCTTTCTTTCTTTTCTCTGTCTCTCTATCTCTCTCTTACCTCCTCTCTCTGTCTCTCTCACCACCAAGACGATCTTTAAACTGCAACTCACCCCAACTTCAAGGTGTCTCTGGCGAAGATGTTGAGTGCCCCAAGCTACTCTAAAAGAGGGTCTGCAAATACCATTTGGGGCAGTCACCATGGCCCTTTCATTTGTTACTCACCATGGTCATAGATCCCACTAACGCGTTGCTAGCGAAGATGGCAATGCGCAGACATCATTGGGGGACGCTTCCCTTCACATGCCCCAAGCACCACAAAAATCATCTTCAAACTGCGACTCACCCCAACTCCACTTCACTTCTGGGAAAGATATTGAGTGCCCCAAGCTACTCTAAAAGGGGGTCTGCAAATACCGTTGAGCATGATGCGGCTCTTGAGCATGATCCAAACGCCGCAAAACTCGTCCGAGCAGAGGATGATCTCACGGCCTGGAAAGAGATTGAGGTGCTAGCGAAGGACCTCGATGCTGATGTGGCGCCACCCGCTGTAGTTGAGGATGGCAAAGATGAGAACTTGACAGATGCTTGCACAGATACAGGAGATCAGGTGCCTACATCCTTGCCAGAGATCCTGGACATGGTTGGTGGGCTTCCGGAGTGGCAATTTCAGTCTGGCACAAGCCACGGAGAAGGTGCATGCTTGCGCCGTGTGGCATCCCTGCTCAAGCCGATCAAGGACTTTGCTACTCAGGTTCGTATAAATGAAAAGGTATTGTCACCTGCACAGGCGCAAGGAATGAAGCCCAGTGATGGCAACAATCAGTGGAATTGGGTGGTAAAAGAGTTGGCGCAAGCCCAGCAAAATTCCATGCAGAGCGCCATCAGAATTTCACGGAGCAGTGGTTGGTTTGCCGCCATCCAGTCCTTGTGCGAAGCAGTGGCTTGACAATGCTAGTTAATGCTATGTGCATATAAGTTCATATATTACATTCATCATTTTACAAAGTGGCAACACATCCTGTTATATGTTTGTTCAAGACATCTGGCGCCGGCAGTGGCAACTCAAACCGTGCTAGCCATATCAATGTCATCAGTTGCAATCAACTCCAACGGACACAGAACTCTTTGAGAACTCAATTTTGGACCTTGTGGTGAATTCTGGTTTAATTTCAGAGGCATGCATCTTCATGGGCTGTCCAGCCACCACATGGCTGCGTACCCATGCGTGAGTTGCGTTTTCCGATTTTCCATCTATAATTACAGCAACATGCTGAGGTGAGCACAGCCAACGGCAGTGAAGATTCTGCGCAAGACCTCTTTCTTCCGTGCTCCAGCTTTGCACCTATCGGAGTGAAGCCAAAACCAATGGCGGTGCTGTATAAGTCTCAGCAACCAGGCAACGAGGCCTTCTACGAAGTCGCAATTGGAATTGTAGTTGCTGTCTATCGCGGAGCAGTTTGCCAAGGATCCAAGGGCCAAGTCAGAAAGCGGCAGGCGCGGGGCACGCATGTGTAGGACTCATTGGCAGTTGTCGAAAAAACTAGGTTCATTGAACAAAGTGGGGGCGATTCTGAGTGCCCCAACCACTGTTTGCATACCCCGTTTTTGGGTAGCTTGGGGCATTCACTGTATTCCCCTAAACAACATTGTAGTTGGGATGATCCGCACTTTGAAGACCACTTTGTTACTGCGTTTGGGCATTGCGCAGGGGAAGCCTCTCCCAACGACGCTCTGGGCATCTGCAACTTCGAGGATCAAAATTGTGAAGATGAAGCAGCTGAAGAGCCACACCTGGGGATGCCACTGTTTATGCCCTATGGACGTCGTGGACCCGATTGGCTTTTGCCTGGCGGAAATTGGCGAGCCAACTTTCAGCCAAGAGGGGTTGTTAATGACCATGGAAGTGCGTCCTGAACAAGGCGCCATTCTGCAAAGACTGCGCAGCGGAGAACTGGATATCGGGCAGCTACTGAAAGAGCAGCCTGCCAAAGACTTTGCAGTCGCTGAAGAAGCGGTAGCGTCTTGCTTGCATAGTTGAGCATAGTTGTGGTGTGTGCTACAAGTGCGCGTCTCGCTGGTAGCCCCTCTGCACTCACTTTTTTTAAACTTGACCTAGCGCCTGCCAATATCCAACGTTGGTAGAACCCCCTACAGAAGTGCGTTGGGAAACCTTCACGCAAGCTTTGCATTACACAGGAAGTGGCGCCGAAGAAGATGCTGACCTGTCATGAGTTTACACGAAGCGGGCATGGTTTGAAGCACATTGAGCAGTATCTTCTGGAGCTGCCGCAGATGTATGAGAAGACGCTTGGCGACAGCAGTGTCCATTGTCTCAGACCATGCTGGCACTGATCTGTGGTTCTTTCGTTTTTCTATTTTGCTTCCTCATGATTCCTCAAATTAGTTGACACACATTGTTTTGGAGCATGGCGCAAAAGCCAAACTTCGTGCTTCCCAGCATCAAAAGTTGTTTTGTGATGTTTTCTGCAGTATTCTGCAGTGAACAGGGATGCCCAATTGTGTTGTCCCGCCCATTCCACAATTTGCACAACGGTTCATGGCTTTGCCCCCATTGCTTTGCTAGGAAAGACATTCGCATCCTTCGAGATGGAAACCTGCGAATACGCGATCTCCCAATCCCTTGGGCTCAGTCTACTACTGCCTTTTTTTTTTGTGGACTTGGAAGTTCAGTCTACTACTGCCTTTGGTAACAAAGTTGTTCGGACGCTTGCGTCACTATCTCCCAGCGAAGGGGAAGATAGACTAGGGGTATTGCGCAAACTGGCGAAGTTCGCTGCAATGGTGCATAAAGTAACGCCGCCAGGTTTGCTCTTGTGAAAGCGACCTTGATGAGATGAAACAGCTGACAAACCAAGAACATTGAGAAAACACTTTGCCCTTTGGCAGGGTGTAGCAGGGGGTATGCAAGGGGGTGCCGGAGACAGGCAGGGAAATGCTTGAAAACCAAGCACCAGGCCGCTCAGCACAAGGACTTGCCAGAAAAAAAATGAGGCGTACCTGCACAAGCCGATGAACCCATCAATCCTTCATGATCCTTCTATCAAAATATATCAAAATTAGAGGTGCTGACTTTTGCGCAGATCTAGGACTTCACCCAGTTTCAACATCTTGCAACATGGGTCCATGCTTTTGAAGATGTGGTTCTTTTCAGAAAAACGAGAACAACACCAACAGCTGTCCATCAGATGAGCCGTACTTTACTAGTCAGCCTGGCCGAAGCTTTGCACAGAGGAGGTTCACCACAATTCAGCAGCAAACTCTTTGTCAGCCCAGAAACTTGGAGCCAGGCCACTAGCTGAATGCATATGATGACATATCTGCACACAACGCACAATACACACACAATCACACACACATGACATAATTATCTATGACCCCAATATACCCCAATAAGAAGTGCAGGTAAGTCAATCGCCCAGTGACGATGTTCAACGCCGGGCCGAAGCAAAAAGGAAGCAAGCGAGTGGCGTCAAGATGTGTTGAGATGTTTCAAAATGTGTCAAGATGTGTCAAGGAGGTTCTCATATGTACGGTGGCCTTGCCACATGACCAGTCCATTGTCATTCATGTGATCTAATGAAATCAAGCGATTCCATGCAATCCCTTTGGGAAGTCTCTCGCGTTTTTTGGGGGTCTGTGAGTATGTGTATATATATAATATTATATATATATATATATATAATATTATATATATAATATTATATATATATCTATTCAAAGAAAAAATTGTAACTCGAAAGCTTGGTTCAACCCCCCCCTCGTCCCCCCGTCTAAGGGGGTAGGGACGTTTAAACCATCCCCCATTCCCAGTCATGGGTAGTTTATGACATTGTTTTAACCACATCAAACCAACGAAAAATGGTAAACCCTACAGGACCACTGACCGCGGATTCCTGTCATATTTCTGCATGGCGAACTGCGATGTCCTGTTCACCCTGTGTTCCGCTGAGGAAGTACAAAGGAAAGGAGTTGATGTTGTACAAAAAGGCACATGGATCCAACGGAAAGCGCACAACTTAGTGCAGGGGCTGTTTTTCAATAGAATCAATAGAGTAGATGTGAAACCAAACCCAGAAAAGTCATGTCTATCGGCTCACAAGTGGGGTACAAACGGACTGATCTGCGGTATGTTGCTGAACAAAATGTTACGCAAGCCATGCATTCTGGCATGGAATCCCACCAAATTTTTGCTAAGTCTCATTCGGGACAGTTTATGGCTTTCAGAAGGGTCATTTGTAAACCTTCAATTTGGGAATTGGGGTTTTTACTCATCATCCATGATAATGTCATCCCCAAATTGTTATTCACTCACGGGCTGTTTAATTGGATGGCACCATTTCGGAGCAGATGATTTCTTGGGGGAAACCCCGCAAGTGACCAAGAGACTGGATTGCTCCAGGGGTTACATGATATCTCCGTTTAGCGATTGATATCTCCGTTTAGCGATTGCATCTTCATTGTTGCATAAATCCCATCGATTGGGATTCCAGTTTGCAGGTCAGGTTGATCATCAAATCCAACTTCAGAACCTGCATTCATTTCTTGTATATACTTGTATATCCCTATGTCAACATGAATTAGGATCAAGTTTTTCAACTCTTCCAGACATGGCGAGCTGGCCCATCGGAACATCCCGGAACAAGTACGAAGCAACCTGCTATTTTCATGGAGATTAGGGATTGTCCAATATTTGTCCATCGGATTGCTATATCCCCATGGGTTATAGAAGACATTGTTCATATGACCCTGGGATCCCCTGTGAAAACAGCTTCACAATTAGTTAATGACTATAGCACGTGAAAAGTCATCGTTAAAAATAACACGAGAAATCACGGAATCTTCAAGTTATCGTATGCGAAACATGATTACTATTCATTGACTACCCTCTGGTTATTTAACATAGCCATGGAAAATGGCACATTTATAGATGGTTTACCTATTAAAAATGGTGATTTTCCATGGCTATGTTAAATAACCACATGGTACTATTCATTGACTATTCATCCATTTCTCTAAAATTGGTTCCACGACAAGATGTAATCCATGAATTATTCTAGAAGACTGTAGATGTTGTGTGATATAACTGTCAAATAGGTATCATCCCAAAATTTGTTCATTATTTCATCCCAAAATTTGTTCATTATTATTATTATTCCTCATTCATATCCCAACAATGACTGAATTCTCTCGTTGATTCCTGGTGATTCAGGGTCCGTCGCAGGTTTGCCTCCGCTACGATCTGGATTCCTCGAAGCGCCCCCAACGCGATGTTCATCCCGTTATGTTTGAAGGGGTACCCGTTGGGCTAAACTCAGATGTAGAAAAACATGAAAAACCATGAAAAACCATGAACAACCATGAAAAAACACAAATTTGTAGATGATAAATACCTATCTATGTTAGCGCACGGATGTTTATTCTGAATGGCTTTGAGGTCTGGGTGTTCGCCTCACCCAGATCAGTTGATTTTCAGCGTTCCCTCATAGGTTCTATGCAGATCCCAAAAACTGGGAGTCAGAGGACAAGGCTGGCGACATCCCGGGCTTCTACCCAGCCTGGTTATGACCAACAGTTCGCCATGGGATAGATGGCCCTAATCGAAATATATGGTAAACACCGAACTTAAAAATGGGTGGATCTTTCCATGGCGAACTGTGAATGTCATAACCAGATGGTAAATGGATTGTTGAATGGGAGAATTACGGACAAAAACACATCCTAAATGGTGGAGTTTCGGATTTTCCATGGCCATTCCATTGCCATGCTAGATTACCGGGTAATCATCCGAGTAATGGTGAACATGATCCGGTTCAGGGGGTTCTTCCCGGTTGCCCAGATCAATGGTTCAAACCACTACATACACGTACTGTAGAAGTTGTTTATCCCTAAGCTGATTCAATAGGCCCGAAGCTTACAGGGCTACCTCATTCCTAGGTAAAGTGTCTTGCAACTATAGTTCTTACATGTTCTTACCCTCTTGCAATTTATCAGTTTACTATGAAAGCCATGGCCTATTCATAGATGATGCGTAGATGATTGTATTGATTTGTGATGATTTACCCATTATCTGCGATGTTTACGTCCCAAAACAACAGTTATTCCTAACCATTTGACTAACTCGGTGGGATGTAATATCGTTCTATGAACATGGTTGGTAAGGGCAATGAACCAAGACTGGCAAATACGCCACTGGAACTTTCCTTGCGTTGATGAATGTATATGAGTTTCATATATTTTCATGGGAATGTCATTTCCGAATCAGCAATTGGAGTAGTGCTTTGTGAGATACAATCAGTATGTCCAAGAATTGGTTTTGTCGGAAACATCTGCAATAAAAGCCTCTATTTGGTGGTAAAAATCCTCTAGATTTTCTGAATTTCCCCTCAGAATCCAGAAAAAATCATGGTTTCCAGATCAACCCATTGATGCTTCAACCATGTTCAACCTTTATACATCAGAGGGGATGGTAATCAAACCACTTTCAGGAACCGGGAGACCGGGACTTTGGATTCCCATCATTAAAAAACGGCCATGACTCAGCAACCGATTGATTGGAGGTACCACTTCCATACATGTTTGGCCTATATATATCAGGCCTCAATTTCAGGGAACATCCCAAAAAAAAACATGGTCAAACAAATGGTACGTTTACGTACCTCCGATCCTTTTTTATTCCCAGTGATTATTACTATGGGATGGATGACAGTAAACCATAGTAACCATAGCACATATATTGGTTACATCCCCCTAAAAATTGGTCCCAAAAAAAAAGCCCGATACATCCCACCATAATGATCCATAAAGTATATTAACATGCATATTGAGTTGGTCATATGTATAAATAAGTACAAATTTTTGATATGATATGATTATCTGGTTGGTGGTTTGGTGGTTATTAATGGATATACCATAATACCCATTATATATAATGATTATATATGATTATATATATGATTATATATATATCATATACATATCCATTATATCTGCAGTCATGACACTTTTCTTCAGGATGTCAAGGACGATGACGATGGCACACCGACAGCTCCTACCTCAGGCGCCTCGGAACGGCCTTGGCGGAACATGGCCCAGTCGAAATAGTGGATTTACCCATTGATAGCATGGTGATGTTCCATAGTTATGTGACAGTTTACCAGAGGGTAACATGATATAACAAGCTAGTCAATCGCTTTATAATGGTTTATACTTTATACATGTTTAACTGGCTTGGCCTCACCTTGTACATTCGATAAGACAATGTGGTTCGCAGGTGCTTTCAATTCTGCGTATTTGTGAGGTTGCAGTAAAATTCCGACTGACAGAGATGTGTCATTCCCGTCACAGATGGGGTTGGAATTCCCAAAGACGGAGCCGATTTCCCAAAGTTTGGGATCAATTTTTACGAGGCGCCATGATTCCAATCCCTTTTTTGTTTCCTCATAGGGCTAGTTCTGACATGTTCCAACCCCAATTGTGGAACATGGAATTCCGTCGGACTCCATCCTTCGAAGCCATGTGACCATAGGGGCCGACTGTCAACCCGCAAGAGTTACATATAATGTCAACCCTGGATGAATAAACCCCAAACGGCTGTTTAATTGGGAGGGTACCATAAAAAAGTATTGGATGATGACTATTGGAGGAGTACCCCCTAACTAATAAACCATGGTTTATTAATCCGGGGTTGACATTATATATATATATATTGCCACTTACACCCCAAAAAATAGTTCCCCTCAAACGCGATCGAAAAGTCAAAACATGTCAAAACATGTCAAAACATGTCAAAACATGTCAAAACATGTCAAAACATGTCAAAACCCACGAAAATAGTGATAAACTACATTCAAAAGTCCTGTTCAATCCTTTTTGACCTTTTTGGAGGCTTACCCCCAATGAATCATGGTAAAAATCAATGCTTCACCATGGGATTTTGCTTGTAACATCGAGGTTTTGCGCCTGCCGCCGCGTGGCTCGGCTTAGAACTTTATGAGTTTCCATTCAGTTGGGAATGGAATTTTCATCATCCCAACTGACGATAAGAGTCCATCATTTTTCAGAGGGCTTGAATGAAACCAACCAGATTATTATTAACAGTATATTAACCATATAATAACCATGAATTTATTAACAGTATATTAACAACAACTGGTAGGTCAACCACCAGTAGATGCACCAGATACTGTGCTGCTGTGCTTTTTTTTTTCCTGGTGAATCCCAAAAGGTTTTAATGTTCCCGGGGATTTGACGTTTCACATCCGAAAAGCCGTGTGAGTTAGAGATATACCATCTGGTAAATTAACCATAGGAAAATGGGAAAATCATAAGAAAACCATAGAAAACCATAGGAAAATGGGAAAATCATAGGAAAACCATAGGAAAATGGTGGTTTACCCTCTGGTAAATAAACTTGTTGACCCTGAGAATCACCAATTTTTAATGGAAACTAATCTTCCAATCCCGATGACTGCCAGGGTCTATGTTAATTTACCGGAGGGTATATGATATGATGTTGTTGCCAAGATTTCGTTGATGTGAAAAAAAAAATTAAACATCCCCCTGGAATTTATATAGATGCACATGAATTAATATGTCTGTGATATTTATCTCACTAGATCTCACGATTTTAGGTTTGGATTTTACATGATTTTACCAATTTCTATCTTTTTTTGGGCCAAACGAACACATTTTTCCAGCCCTTGGGGGTTTCCTTCCGCCGAGCCGCTCCGAGGCCCTCCGGAAGTCCCTTTGGTCCAGGCACTCCAGAGACAGTGAAGCTTAGCCATGTGGGTGAAACCCCATGTTTCACTATTCCAGAAATGGAGGTTTCCTAAATCATAGGGGTAGCCCTGATCATCCATTAAAAAATAGGTTTTTCCCATGTTTTTCCCTTATAAACCCATCCATTTTCATGGAATTTTCCACGAAATCAACCATCCAGCGAGCTGGATAGTACCATGGGTTTACCCCCAGCCATGGCCATGGTGGGGTTCCTTTTACCCTCTGGTAAATTAACATAGACCCTGGCAGTCATCGGGGTTGGAAGATTAGTTTCCATTAAAACTAGGCTATTTTCAGGGTCTACGTTATTTTATTAGAGAGTAACATCTTTTAACCAGCCAAGTATGAAACCAGTCGTGAATGATACACAAGTGCCTTGTAGAAATATTAGAGATCCCAAGGTTTTTCATAGTTTTTTCATAGTTTGTTTTAAGTAACACCAAGATCTGATGGGTTGCCATCCCTGGAAATCTTGCCATCGTCACCCGCCAGAGGTATGCTATTTGGGAAGGAAGCGTCTTCTGGAAGCGACCCGGTGGAGAAGTCATGCTTTGATGAGTTAAATCATTACCCTCGAGTACCCTCTTGTTATTTAACATAGCCATGGAAGCCATGGCCCATAGAAATAGATGATTTTCCCATTAATTAAAACCTCCATTTATGGTTGGGATTTTCCATGGCTATGTTAAATTAATAATCTGATGATAAATTCACATAGGCCCGGCAAGTTTTAGGTCGAAGATGAGTGAAACACCACTGACGGGTGATTTTCAGGGCCGAACTATGTCGGAACTCTTCATTTACCAGAGGGTACTTGATTTATCAGACTTGAAATAGTGATGTTGCTAATCCAATTTGATAGTGATGTTACATGATGTTACCAATTCAACATGATAATGTTAGTGATGTTACTAAGACCCCTGGTCCAATTCAAAACAGGATTTAAGACCCAAGGCCCTTTTTTGGATTCTTAGGATTACGGCCGGTTTAATCTTAGTCTACGATGAATAGAGCACTAGTTTAGCAATAGTGAGATACCCATTTCGATCCTAATTTATCACGGTTTTGTGGGTCAACCCCTAATGAAAATCAATGGCTAATTACAGGTTGGCGATTTCACCAAATGGTTGTATAATTAACTTTAATTAACCACAATAAACCAGCTTATGATGGCATAACTAAACCATATTAATTCCAATCAGTTTAAGTCAAAAACATATGATTTGCTCAGGTTTTTTTGCAACGTTGGAGGGTATGCTGCCTGAAACAAGCGAATTGATGACCCCAAACAAGTGATGCTCAGCGGATTTTGCGACCAGTTGTTCCCCCCCATCAACTGGTTTCAAACATGCCTTTCAGCATGGAAGAACTCCTGCACCTTGGCTCTGCCCGTCCAACGGCTCCCTGATGCTGATAGCTATGGCCCAGTTGCAGTGGCGTGCCGCAAGGGCATGGCTGGAGACCATCCTTTACCAGGTGCTATGCCGCTAGATGTGGCTTTCTGCTGGCTTTGGGCAGCTTCCTTGCCCGAGTGTTCACAAAAGTGCTGGAAACTACACGCTGTATTACAAGAATTGTTTGAAGCATGCATAGCTGTACAGCAGCAAGGCCTTAACTGATAGGCACTTGAACCCGGAGTTCTGGAATCTACACTCGCGCTTCATTGGGAGTGATTCTCACGCGATTGGCGCTATGCGGCTGATCCATTGTTCCCCGGCAAGGTTGGATAGGTCGCTGCTCTTGGGGATCTTGGGGACTTGCACATGTTCGGCTGATCCAAGGGACCAGGCCTTCGAGACTCTCGCAAAAAAACCTCCCTTTGGTCTGGATGAAGTGAAGAAGTGGGCCGCCTTTTTTGTCAGCAAGGAAAGTGGCGGCATGTCTTACCTCAATGCAAGGGACCTTTTTGCACAACGGCCACGCTCCCTTTTTGGCTGTGCGTATTCAATCCGATAAAAGGCATGTTTCGAGCACATGTTGAGAGGACATTTGCATACAAATCTAAATGCACACTCATTGCAAAGTTTTCAGGCAGAACCAACGCATTTCGTGAGTTCACGATTCTACCTTCAAGAGTTGCGCTGGCGCAGCGTTTTGCCTATGAGAACTCCTTTTTTTTCCATGAGAGCCTTGGGCCGATGGCAAACTTGGCGGGGCCACCGCAGAAAATCCCGCTGTTCAACGTAGACGCAGGAGTTGCGATCCGCAGTGTGAGCAAAAGAGTCCGTCCCGGTGTTACTTCGCAGCTTGTTGAGAACACATTGCATTTTTCACAGTCAATGAATGCAAGAAATATCAAGAAACATCAAGAAACATCAAGAAACATCAAGAAACCGTGAATTTCATCAAATGCAACTGCTGAGGTCTTATTTTTGATATTCTACCGACGCCTACGGATCCAGACAAGAAGATCAACATCTTTGCCTGCAGCACACAGGCCTCGCGCTGGCTTGAGTGGTCATTTTTTTAAGTGGCCCACAGATGTTTTTCCTTTCTTGGGAAATTGGCAATAGATAACATAGATCTGGTTGGTGATGTTTGGTTATAAACCCATCAACATACATTAACTATATATCTGGTTGGTGGTTTGGAACATGTTTTATTTTTCCATATATTGAGAATGTCATCATCCCAACTGGGGATGGTAACCATACCACTAACCAAAAAATGGTGATGACTGGGGGATGGTGCAAATGACATTGTTTTGCCAACATTCGTACAAATTTAAAGCTGACATATGATGTGTACTGTACTGTCTGTAAAATACAAAACACTGTTTTTAGAACGGAACGTGTTGGTCCATCGGATATAACATAAATGTTGAAATAGAATCTAATGTCTGGCAACATAGATGTCATATTATATAGAGATGTCGAATAGGTGTCAAAAAATTAAATAAGGCCATTCATTAATCCAACCAATCTGCTGTAACTAATGGGTGAAATTATATTACCTATACGGCTATACGACTATACGTGAGTAGAATTCATCCCAATTGTAATTTATCCAAGTACCAATTATACATGAATTTCCTTTGAAGTAATCCTTAATCCATGAATTGGTACTGTCCTGGATTCATAAACCCCTAGGCCGTTGAATTTCGGAGCTTTCCCATCAAGTATCATTCAGGATTATTAAGTATCATATATTGTCTCTATTTGTTGGCGACTTCCGTAATAAACAGAATCAAACATGGTTTAGAGACATGGATTAATGGATCACCCCCATCATAAACATCCATCATAATCATTCACAACTGGTTGGTGGTTTGGAACATGAATATTATTTTCCCATTCAGTTGAGAATTTCATCGTCCCAACTGACGAAGTCCATCATTTTTCAGAGGGGTAGGTATACCACCAGTATAACTATCAACCAACAACTCTGCCAACCATTATAGATCATATAGATCATGATTATAGAATTATAGATGATTAAATGACATGTCAGATCATGTCAGTATGTTAGTGCCATGTTGCCTAATCATTCATAATTCATAATCATTCATAATCATCATAGCCTAATCTATGTCTATAATCAGTATGTTAATCATTCCTAATCTATATTATAATATGATTCACAATCTATGTCTACTTCTGGCTTGATGACTGCGCCGGGCCAGGCCGAAAAGCGTTTTGCCACAGCGGACGCGATGACCAGTGGAGGTCGCGATGCGATCCAAAAGAGTGATGTTTTGTGAGTCTCAGTGGCCTTTAAAATGATTCTTTAGCGACTTTCTTTCATGACGTTTGATGATTTTTAGTGACTTTAAACGATTTTGAGTGAAATGTAGTGAATTTTAATCATGCTTCATGGGTTTTAATGATTTTAATGACTTGTGATAACTCTTAAGTACCACCAAAAATGTGGATAAAGTTGGTTCTCAACATTTCTTACGTTGAATTTGACCACCAAAAGAAAGTAGATTTCTCTGAAAACTGAAAAACTGAAAAGCCAAGACAGGAACGCCATCGAAAATGGAAGCTTCCTGGAACCTCACGACAGTTTCATCGCTTCGTCAAATTTATCAGAGTTACATCAAGGTAAACCCAGACTGTTATATTATAATATTAAATATATTTAAAATATTACCTATGGATACCTATGGTTACATCATGTCATGAACAATCATGAACATTACAATATTGCAAGTTATTGTTCTATGATTGTTCTATGGTTCTGGCAATTTGCACCCCACTGAGAGTTTCATTGGTGATCATCGATCATAACTGTCATTAACCGTCCCTTTCCCACTTGATAAGGAAGTGCTAAGCATGATAAACTATCATAAACGGTGGTAGATAGCAATCCGTATACCAAACTGACCCCTGAAGTTCTCCCGAAAGGCAACATGGGACAATAACCAAGGTGAGTTGCACCAACTATACGAAGCACCTGCTTGGAAGTGCAGTTCCAGTGAACTCTTCGTGGATGTACATCAACTAACATTTTCACGAAATATTTCACCATATTTTTTGGGGACCCCATATCCCAACGCTTGCATGGCTGTAGGTAATTTGTGACAGTTTGCAATGGAAAATCACCATGTTTAATTGGTAAATCATCAACAGTCAACATATACCCTCTGGTAAACTAACATAACTATGGAAAATCACAATTTTTAATGCGAAAATCCACTATAAATGGCCATTTTCAATAGCTTTTTGTATGTTTACCAGAGGCTATCTGGGCTTTTCCAGTGGATTCATTCATCCTTGGATTCTGACCAGCTCGTATCGGGGGGGACCCCACAAACCCCAACTTCACGGGGCGGGTTCACAAACCATAGAATTATATCATTAATATCAATATCCATAGTTTTCTAAATGGCTGGTATAAAGTTTTTCTTGTTATATCTAAGAAGCATTAAAAAAAATAAACCATAGGACCATAGCGGTATTATACCCATTGATATATCCATTAATCCATGAAAATATCCATTAATAAATATTGATAGATAGTTATCAACATTGCCATTAACCGTTAAGACCATAAACATCTCCATGATTACCTCATATCAATCACCATGAATACCATCTGGTAAGCATTCTCAGTTTGCCAGCCGGAAAATCACCATGCTATTAATGGGTAAATCCACGAACTAAATCACCATGTTCAATAATGTCAACCCTGGATTAATAAACCCCAAACGGCTGTTTAATTGGGAGGGTACCATTTAAGTATTGGATGACATGACTATTGGAGGAGTACCCCCTAATTAATAAACCATGGTTTATTAATCCAGGGTTGACATTAGCTATGTTAGTCATATCCAAAGGGTATCTCCATGAAAATCACCATGAATATCAGCAGCTTCCAGGCCTTGGAGGCGAATCGAACATCAGCGGCGGCCTTTTCGTGTCTCGATATAAAAAACACCCAGGGTAGAAAAGGATGGTTATTTAACGGTAGGGTTTTAGAAAAGGATGTCCAATTTTTTCGGATGGTTTTAAATAACCAGATCATACATGTTATTACTATCCATTCAAGGGTTACCATCTGGTTATTTAACGTGGCGAACGGGGACATCATCATTTAATAGGTAAATCATCATGTTTATCATCTAGAAATAGGTTATTTTCCATGGCTATGTTAAATAACCAGAGTGTAATAAGGGTATATGCTAGATATAATTTTGATAAAATCTGTAATTAGTTAGAACATGTGTTAATCTATGTTGTTTAAAGAAAGTTTAGAATGGGATGTGTATTATGAGATGTTTTATCATCAATCCTACTAATTGAGATCTTTTAGAGGGATAAACTACTCATTTACTAGCTAATTTGGAGGTATAAACTATGTTTTTTCCATCTGTCATTTTCGATCATTTCGTGTTTCTGTGGATTCAGTTTACATGTAGCTAGATTTACTTACACTTTTGGAACATTACACTAGACTGTGAAAAAATGGATGTAGTGACTGTAAATATGGTTATATCAGGTATATTATCTCCACTTGTAACTGTTATATCACCATATAATTGGGCAGCCCTATAACTATGGTGTTTTTTATATCCACTTAGTTGGAACTGCACCAATTCCGAGGGAACTGGAGCAACGGCTGGCATCTTTGGCTCCGGCAGCTCAGGAGTTGAGAAAAACCATGGGTTTTGTGGGGAACATCGCCGGAAACCATCATGGACCATAGGTCTGGGCAAATTTGATCACGACCTCACTGTTCTCCCTCACTGGAATCATGGTTTATTTTAGGGGGAATCATCCCAAAATGGCCGAACTGTTCAGGTCAGTGAATTATTAATTTGCCCAGCATTATGGACCATAGGAATTTCCCATTATCATGGGATATCATGGGACTTTCCTGTAATTTTTCCCTTAAACCAATCCATTGACGTTGGGGAAACCCACTGAGGAAAGCCATTGCGATTTTTTTTTGGAGATATGTTTGTAAAGCTTGAACTGTGCGTCAATGTTCCATATTCCATGATCCTCGGAGGAACTAGCCTTTTTGCTTCTGCCCCAGGCTGGAAATGGGGAGTGGGGCTGGACATGGCTTCGAGAAATGGAAACGGCAGCCCATAGCTTTTCTTTTGGTTGATGTTCTGGAAATTTCATGTGAAAAAATAGTGTTTGTAAGGGTTGAATGGAGGTGAGTATGGAGATTGTGTTTTTCCGAGAATAGGGGATTTACCTTTAATGTATGGCCATTCTAATGCAGAAAGTGATGTTCTACTGGGGAGTTCGCTGCCTTTTCTTAATGAAATTGAGAATCTCAGTAAATCACTATCGTAGCAATGATTGCCTGGTTGGTGGTTTCAAACATTTTTTATTTTCCATAATATATGGGATAATCCTTCCCATTGACGAACTCGTATTTTTCAAGATGGTTAAAACCACCAACCAGTTGCACGTTTGGTCAAGTTGTGTTTGTGGTCCCCTTTGATTAATTAAACATGGGATTAGTCCCTCACTTAACAGCTACTGTAAAGTGTTCTGCATATCCATGGGATTTTCCGCCAGCGAGATTGATTGCCAGGGTGCACTGGGACAATTTGAGTACTTGGAAGTGCAGTTCCACTTAGAAGTGGATATGTAACCATAGTTGCAGGGGTTATATCCCAACCCAACGGGGTTTATAGCCATAGTTATATGTATATATATAGTTATATCATATACATTAATATCATAGATCCATTCACAAGCCCAACTGCACAGTATATTTGGGTTTATTGCCATGAATCTAGGATGCAAACAAGACTATCTCTTCCCCCAATATTAAGCATCTCCTAAAAATCCAGGTTTGACATTTTTATCTACTCGATTTGCGGGTATGGGAATCCAAAAAACGTTCCGACAACCCAGATGCCAGTGTTTGAGGTTCATCAAATATATGCGTAATATATATATATGTGTGTGTTATCAATGATTATCATATGATATCCCATTATAGATTGGATTTTACTGGGATTTAATGGATGATTATCATATGATATCCATTTATAGATGGGATTTACCACTTTATATCTCATGACATCACCATATTTCCCACCACACAATTCCCTATCATAGCCATTGGTTCCATGGGACCAGCCTTCGGAGCCAGGCCCAAAGGCAGATGATCCGAGTAAGGCCTCCGATGGAAATTCGCTGGATTTCAGAATGACATTGTGACGTGGTGGGATAATGATCCAATATGCTTTAAATGACATGACATGATGTGATATCCGATATGTGCTATATATATATATGTATGTATATATATAGATATGTGTGGTTATGATTAATGTTTAATTAATGTTTAATTAATGTTTAATTAATGTTTAATTAATGTTTAATTAATGTTTAATTAATGTTTACCATTGTTGTGATGTTTAATGTTATAAATGTGATATCCTATTTAAGGCTATGATTTATATTTCTATTCTATTATTTCTGAAAGCACTATCATGGTTTCTCGTATTACTGTATTATTATTTGTACTAGTGTACGAATCATGGTGCATCATTATCAATGTGTGTTTCTTATTCAATGTGAAATTCATTGATTGTTTTAGCCACAGTATGCCCGCATGTTTTCTTGGTTAAATCCCACAATATCATCTGAATTTCTGAGGGTTTCTTCACCTAAGTGAAGTATGTATACCACCAAAAAACAGGAATAACCTTACCCTCTGGTAAGCTCACATAGCTATGGAAAATCACCATTTGTAATGGGTAAATCAACTATAAATGGCCATTTTCAATAGCTATGTTAGTATACTGGAGGGTATGTCATGAGTTTGCCAATCTCTCTTCAAGGTTGTTGGTTTTGTTTTTGATATGGGGCTTTCTTAAGTCATGGGGGATCCCCAAGTCGCCATTGTTGTTTCAATGCTAAAGTGGTCATCCATGACTTGGATGATTTGGGGGTACCCCTATTTTAGGAAACCTCCATATGTTCTCGGTTCAAGTCGTTGTTGATGAAACGTTCATATTTCTTCTTTGGCCCCTTTTTTTGTTGATACAAGAAATTGCCTTCCTCAATGATGTGGCCATGAGTCACAATTCAAGACTGTCTCTAGAAATGAACACATACCCTCTGGTAAACTAACATAGCTGTTGAAAATCACAATTTGTCATAGGAAAATTCACTATAAATGGCCATTTTCAATAGCTATGTTAAATTACCAGAGGGTACTCATGTCATTTCTGACTGTTCACCATCCCTTCGTAATGGGCCCTTTCTGACTGACCCGTTGTTTGACCATGGCGATGCTCTGCCAGGCTGCACCAGCTTTCCCACCAAGCTTCCCCGGACAGTCCCCCTTTGGTAGGGAGCCTTAACCTGTGCCACCAGGATGTTACCCTCTGGTAATTTGTTACATAGCTATTGAACATGGCACATTTATAGTTGATTTACCTAATAAACATGTTCATTTTCCATAGCAAACTGTTAGTTTACCAGAGGGTAGTTTGGTGATGGTTCCTCCTTAAATTCCAGCTTTCCGGTTGGTGTCGGCAACTTGGGCTGCGAATATCATGCAATATCAAAACCATGGTTTCTGGGGCCGCGAAGGGATTAATAGGTTGGGTCAAATGTTCACCACAATGCGTGGGTTTCAGAGTATGAAAAACATTTCATGTGAGGGGAAAGCGGTGTTCAAGACCATGGGATTTGTTGTGGTACGGTTTTATATACCCTCTGGTTATTTAATATAGCTACGAAAAATCACCACCATGTTTAACGGGTAGATCATGATGTTTATCATCTATTTCTATGGGCCAGTTTCCACAGCTATGTTTAAAATAAATCAGGGTAAATCATCCATGCTCTCATAGTTATCCTAAAATGGTCCCTATAATTTCTCATCATATCCTTATTGTTGTAATGTGGGTTTACCACAATGTCATAAACGCACCATCCCCCAGTCATCACCATTTTTTGCTTGGTGGTATAAACTTACCATTCCCAGGAAAAGCATTGTTTTACCACATTAATCATCATTAGTCATCCATTAATGACCATTACTAACTATGATTAACCATTATTAACCAATATTAATGGGATTTACCAATATTAATTAATATTCCCAGAAACTTTCGTTGGAACCTCCCCGTTAGCGCCGAGGTATGGCATCGGATAAGGCCCCAGATGGCAGCTCCTCTGGGTCATTGAACCTCTTTGGAGGCACATTTATCCACTGAAGCGATGGAAAACTGATCGCTTAGTTCGCTGGAATCATCCAGGGATTATCCAGTAAGCCACGTTGAGGCTATGTTGAAAAAGCGAAAAAAGAAGCCACGTATGACATATGACGTAGAGATGGATATACTGCTTGGTGGTTTCGAACATGGCTGTTATTTTCCATTTCATATATGGGATGTCATCCTTCCCATTGACTTTCATATTTTTCAGAGGGGTTGAAACCACCAATTAGTCATATATTATATTCATTGGATCAGGTATTAATCACTAATAACCACTATTAACCACTATTAATCACTAGTAAAACTGAATTCGCAAGCGTCTTTTTGGCGGATGCTGATGATGACCAGCACGTCACCCAATTTTCCTGGGGATCTTTCATCTCCAGATGGCTTTTTGCGAACTGGCTGTGGTTGTTCGGTGATCCACAGAAACCAGATGAAAAAAAACATACCCGGCCTGGTAAACTGTCACATAACTATGGAAAATCATCACTTTTTAATGGGAAAATCCACATTTTCAATAGCAAACTGCTAGTTTACCAGAGGGTATGTCAATTGACTTCTATGTAAAAAACAAGGTGGAATGAAAAAATGTGAAATTGATTCATAAGTGAAAAATCATCAACCTCGTTTTTTTGGAGATGATGGAAATCTCACCAATGTTTGTGATTGGGAAGAGTGTACAGTACGTTGGATTTTACCACATTTCCAGCTGTTGATACACTTGTTGCACAGTTACTGTACATGCAGTTAGTTGATGTTAGTTCAACAGAGTTCCCAGAGCAATCCCATATATCCCGCTAACAGATACTCCACGCCCCCAAAGTGAATAGATCATAATAGATCTACATATTAAACCAAGGTGTCCTAAAAGGTAGCCTATGGTTATTTCACAGTTTGCGAAGTGGAAAATCACATGTTTTAAGCGTAAAAATAAGTAGATCATCCATAAATGGACTCGCTACTGTTGACGTTGTGTAATCATACATTAATATAGACAGATTGTAACAGCCATGACCTCACCATAGATGATGATGGGCATTGAAATCCTCCTGAAATGTCGAAATAGCTTGAGAAATATGATGATGTTATGATGTTCATTGATTTTCCTAGATTTAGCCAGTCATTTCCGGATTTCCAGGAATGACTTGACCACAGATGACCAGCAACCTCCATGAAGTTCGGGGGTTCAGTGGCACTTTTGATGCCCCAAATTGGATTTTGTATCCCAATTATCCCATGAAGATTTTAAGGAAAATTTCCATTAAACATGGTTACCCTCTGGTAACAGTTGGACCCTGAAACTCATCAATTTCTGAAACTCATCAACCGTCAGGAGAGGCGAGCCCGAGTACAGGCACGTTTCCAAGGGGCGCATGACGATAGCAGGTGACATGGTAAAAATTGGTAAAAAATTGGTAAAATCAAAGATGGATATTCTAGATCTCCTCTGAAAAATGGGGTTTTCACGGGAAATTCGGTTCTAAATGCTATGCTTGAACTAGTTAACCACTCAAAAATGTGGTTTTACATTGAAAAGATGGGGATGTCATCGTCAAAATAGTTGTGCTCACCGATAGATCAAACTGAAAAATTCTGGAGAATCCGACAGATGAAATCCGAGGATAGACACAGACTGAAGATTCTAAATTTAAATCCGGCGGATTTTCGGTTGAACTTGGTCGGGTGTAAAAGTGTCTATTTCTATTGGTCACGGTTCCATGGGTGTTTTTTTTACAATGCTACAAGACTTACTGGTGCTTAGTAGGGAATTTTCGGGAATGATCCATTTCATCACTAGTAATAATCATCTAATTCCCCCAGCAACCCATCCATTCCCTACGTAAAATGCACCAGTAAGAAGATGCATGTTGGTAGCAAGAAACAAGAGGCATATCAACCTGCAGGATCCTGTAGGAATCGAACCTGCAGAATCCTTCCCTCATGGTGGATCTTCAAGGAACAACGAGACAGATATCATTGAAACATATTGAAAAAACATCCTGGATTTGCCCTATGAAAAACAGTGGATCTGAACAAAAAACACGGGCTGTTCAGGTGACGTTTGCGCCATTTATCTGGCACAACACAGCTATGTTTTCTCCATCAGGTGACGACAGACGAAGCATCAGGATTCGTGAAGACCCACCATTTGTAGATCTTCCTACATGATGGTGCCCCCCAGTTGTAAGTTGGTTTATAAACCCCCAGTAAGTATAGTTGTATCTACCATAAACCATAGTTAAACCACGGGTTGCATCTTTCTATGTAAATTATAACGACTTCACTGCAACCTCACTGGAATGATGGTTAGTATAGGGAAATCCGACCAAAATCTTATTTCAGGTTAGTGAATTATTATAATTTCCCCAGATCTTTTTCTGTTTAATTACCCTAGGCCCTACCTAGGACTTCCCCAGGCGTACCCGACCAGGCAGCGGAAGCATTTTCGCGTCCAGTGGGCCGGGAGGTGCCATAGATTCACCCATTGGATGGGTCAAAATTGGGTATCCCAATCGGTGGTTGATACATGGTTAATACCAATCACACACCAAACCTGTCAGGTTGGTGGTGACTGGAACATGTCTTTTATGACTTTCCATTCAGTTGGGAATGTCATCATCCCAACTGACGAACTCATATTTTTCAGAGGGGTAGGTCAACCACCAACCAGCTGTGGTTTTGATAGAGTTTTTATGAATTTTGACCCATGGGACCCATGATATCCCACGATGGGGGACAACCACAAAGCAGGGTCGCCACACGAAAAACTGAATGGCTCCGGTCATCCCCGCTTGATGATTCGTTCGGGGGTGATATTACCCAACACTGGCTGGGGATTACCCGGCCTGGTAAACATACAAAAAACTATGGAAAATCACCATGCTATCAATGGGTAAATCCACTATAAATCACCATTTTCAATAGCTATGTAACAAATTACCAGAGGGTATCATAATCCATGAACTGGGAAATCCTATTGCAACAATCAGTGCAGAGGAATGACACAGGGTTTTGAACACTGCCCAATTGGCATATGGAAAGCCCACCATGGGAGAAGATGTCAAACAAAAACACATTTGTGTCCAAAAGCAAACTGTTGCTTTACTGGAGGATATCTCCAATTTCATGGCCATTTTTTTTACCAGGAGAAACATTATGATTAACCATGAGGTGGAACTGGGTACCCATTTTTATGTCTATACTGGACAAAACCAGATCGATGAGTTGATACAAATAACTAGATGTTCACCAGGCTCTTTTTAGGGGTAGAGGAAGTTCCCCCCAAAAAAAATTGCAACCCCATCAGCTTGGCTATCGTTTTGGGTCCCTTTCCGTGCTGAACTTCAGCAGGTTCGGATGCCACTTCCCTCTTTGGCAGCACTGGTAGCGGCTCCAGTGGTGCGAAGTTTGGGGTGCTGTTTCTTGGGCAATAGAAGGGTACCAAGCATTTTGAGCCGTACGCATATCGCAAGAAGCACATAGGGCCATGGGGGGGATATCCCAATATGTTGCTATTTTGATTGGGACAATGCTTGTTAACATTTATTAACTACAAAGGATTTGGGGTATCCCCTATTTTCAGACACATCAAAGTTGAATTTTGGAGAGTAGCTTCATGTAGTTTCCGAAAGAAAAAAAATCATGTTAGGTAGGTCAAACGAAGCCACTAATGTCCACTATATAATGATCTTTTGATCATTTTCCTGGATCCCTTCTCAAACCTCCAACTGGAAGCCATGGGCGCCCATCCAACGATCGTGTTTGGGTTTTGAAACTTTCTTGGAGAAAAAATAGCTCAATTCCAATGGATGAGATGATTTTCCCTCTTCCCTATGATGGCTATATGATGCTATTTGTCCTTAGTTGTCCTATTTTCAGACAAACAAATTTTGCTCATTTTGGCGGTTGAAACAGGCAGAGATCACCCCACATTTCAGCCCAGGTGGAAACATCTTTGCCTTCGGAGGTGCTTTTTTCCATTACCCCATGGTTTCCACCATGAGAAGCCCATCTGTTTCTTGGACCATCTGGTGATATCATAGATCAAAATCCATCAAAATCCCATACTTCTCATTTACCAGTATGAAATCCCATGGTTTATCATAATTGTCCAAAATTGCCAATGGTCATATGAGTAACCGACAAAGTTTTCCGAAGACAAGAGTTATAGGAAGTGGCTGCACAACCCCGATCTGAGTCTGGGGTTTTGAATAATTTTGTGTAGCTGTTTTCGAGCCCTATGAATCAAAGTTCAAGGCCACCCGGAAAAAACGGGTCCGACCCTTGCCACTCTTTCGTTGCGGAGGATTCTGTCGTTGGAAAAGGCAATGTGTAGGGGCTCCAGTTGTATACATATTGCAGGTGTAACTATCGGATACTTCGATTTTGACTGGAAATGGTATGAAATGGTCTCATCCTCTGTTTGGAATTACCTACAGTACCCTTTTTTATTTGTTTGTTTTTTTCCTAGTCAAACAGGCAACTTTAGTGCGTGTTTTGCATTGTTCTGGGAAACTTGTTCCGAAAAAATCAGCAATGCCCAATTCTTCTCTTGATGTTTGGAATTAGTCCATTGGCATAGTACATACCTTGTACAACCCATGGATATCAAATTCTTCTCTTGAAAAGTTCATGGTTTCTTAGTGATGATACCCTCTGGTAAACATACAAAAAACCTATGGAAAATCACCATGCTATTAATGGGAAAACTCACTATTCCTATGGCCATTTTCAGTACTTGATTGTATGTTTACCAGAGGATAATCGGATGATGATCATAGTCTCCAGAATTCACCATGTAACCGGACCAGGCAATTCCGGTGATGCTATCGGCAGCCTATTTGCATCTTGGCATTGAACGAGTGTGGTGCAAAATTTCAAGCGCCTTTTCACGGGACCCCCAAACGAGGCCTTGAGAAAATGCGGTTCATCTTGTTTCATCTTGTTTCATCCCATTTTTTGATAGGAAAAGCGGTGTGGAAATCGCACTTTCGGTAGGAAAAACATGGAAAAACATCTGGACATCCCATTTACGATAAGCAAATCATAGGGAAATTAAGGGGGTCGGATTACTTCTGGCGTTGCCCACTAGTTTTGATGGTGGCCTGCATGAAAAGGAGGTTCCCCCTATCAGTGATCAGTTGCTACGCAATTTTTACAGCTCACATGTGGGCATCCGAGGTTGACATTCAGCGTTCTAAAAGTGCTGGAGGGTCATCCATTTTCTCTAGGGGCTTTGAGCACTCCTGGAGGTTTCCGACAAGTCATGGGGGTACCCCCAGTCATCCATTTCTAGATGGGATTTTCCATTGTAAACCATCCAGCTATTGGGTAATTACCCCCATTTATGGAAACCCCCATAGAGTTATATAGTAGTTATATATACACAATATGTTTACGATTTCTATTCTGGGACCCGCCAAAAACACTTCACCCATGGCCGGGCCATCGACGCATGGAAAAAACGATCAGCTCCTGACAAGGTGAAGCCCCCAAATGATAGCCAAGTTGAAAAAAGTAACTTGGCTAACTGGGCTTTATGAATGTTTAATAATCTGGTTGGTGGTTTGGAACATTTGTTATTTTTCCATATTTTGGGAATAATCATCCCAACTGACTAATATTTTTCAGAGGGGTTGAAACCACCAACCTGTTAATAATGTGTATGGGGGTTATAACTGTTGTTAATGGGGTTATAAACGAACATATGACTGGACCAAAAACCTTGTATGTCAATGTATCAGTTGGCTTTTCAATATCTATCCAGTGAACGGAGTAAGCGCTTCGGAGCTATGGTTGTCTATTCAAATGGGTTTCAAATGGGGAGCCATTCCGACATATTCTAGAGTTTCCCAACCACATAACCACATGATTCATATTTTTGGTTGCCCTTTTCATTGCTTTTCCCCCCCCAACCAGCCATCATTTTGGTGAACGGCCAACGGCCAGGGAACTGCGAGCACAGCAAGCTCAGGCCTGGCTGAACTGCTGATTTCTGAACAAAAATTAGGAAATTATATGGAATTATGGTATATGTATCTCCAACACTTAGGTATTCCGCAGTTTATTTAATGAAAAGTATGACAATGTGGTTTGGAAGCTCGAAGTCATCGGCTAGTATGGATTGGGAATATTTCTGGAAGAATCTGGAAGAATCTGGATCATTTCTAACGACCTCATGTCACACCTCGTGACGTAAATGCTTGGGGTCCCAACTATCTTCATGTGGCCGAAGTGTTTGAGGTTGGTCAAGTATTATCTCTTATAGAGCGATTTATGGGGATCCAAAAATGGCGTTTCAAAATCTTGAAGTTTTTCGGTTGTAGATGGGACACTGCTATTTGCGGATGGGATCGCAATGGATAGTTACATGATGTTACACTCATGAATGGAGCTCTGATAGTCTACAATTTGGAAAATGATACTTGATCAATGTCCACAATTTGCCATCAAATGGTGTTGGGCTGTTCCCCAAGAAATGCCAGGATCGGATCCTTGCCCGCCTTGCTCTGTTCGATTATTTCCATGGGATACTGATTCGCTGACCATGAACTACGAGCAATAGTACCCTCTGGTAAATTAACATAACTATGGAAAATCACCAATTTAAGTGGAAAACTCACTATAAATGGCCATTTTCAATAGCTATGTTAAATTACCAGAGGGTAGGTTTCGGATTAATAAATGATGTCTCCAAAAAAATCCGCATGGTTGATGGTGATTTTTCGCTCATATCAAACATCCGGCTTACTCGTAGATCATGTGAAATATTTCTGGCTTTTCAAGAAGTTGCAAAACCACCTCTTTGGCTCGAGCTAATGGGATATTTTCATGGGGTACCAATGGGCTATTAATATTTAGTACCCAGTTATGGGTTAAATATCTATGAATATCTATGGAATATTAATATCCATATTAATGGGATATGATTGGTTAAAATTATCCAGTAAATTCACTGTTTGCGAACTGGAAAAAACTGGAAAACCACCACTAACCAATAGGTACATCGACTGCAAATGGGCAATGTTCAGTCGCTATGTTAAATTACCTGGGGTTACACTAACTGGCTTATTGGGGATCTTTAATATGGAATAGCTTCAAGATAGTTGAGCCATCAAAAATACCATGGTCGATTAGCTATTGTAGGCAGTTATCCTACTGGGCTTATTGGGGTTATGAACTACGATGAACTACGCAATATTAGGGAAATCTCTCAACCAACCAGTATACCCTCTGGTAAACTACCATAGCTATGGAAAATTTCCCATTTATAGTGATGTTTCCATTAAAAATGGTGATTTTCTATAGTTTTGTTAGTTTACCAGAGGGTAATGAGAGTGCAGATAGTGATATTTTTAATGGCTCAGCTCTGAGCAGTGCAGATTCCCCTCTAGCAATGCTCGAGCTGATGGTCGTTGAGAATTGGCTGTCGACCGATCATTTGGAATGAATGGAGGTGTCACTAATCCTGGTGGTTTCAAACATGGCTTATATTTTCCATCATGGGATGTCATCCCAACCCCATTGACGAACTTATATTTTTCAAGATGGTTACCCTCTGGTAAACTAACATAACTATGGAAAATCACCATTTTTATTGGGTAAATCCACAAATGGCCATTTTCAATAGCAAACTCTTAGTTTACCAGAGGGGTAAAAACCACCAACCAGCTAACAACGACTCACCTTTTGAACATCGTTTCGAATGAGGTGCCACCGAGGAGACTGACAAGGTGGACGACCGTGGTTTATCCTGTTTTCAAACCTGTGAGGGAGTGAGTTTCCCACATGGTAGATGTGATCCCTACCCTCTGGTTATTTAACATAGCCATGGAAAATCAAAAATCACCATGCTATTAATAGGTAAACCATCTATAAATGGGCCATTTTCCATGTGATCAACTATGGTTGGGAAAGACATGGATTGATATGGAACTATGATAGAGTCAACATGGTAGATGTGATCAACTATGATCGACTATCTTTTTGATATTTGATGTGATCCCTAAATTTCATGGAAAAGATTCGGAAAGATGATATAAATGATATCCATCAAATATCGAGGATGCAATATCCACGTGATTGGTGGTTTGGAACACGTTTGATTTGTCCATTCAGTTGGGAATAATGATCCCAACTGACGAACTCATATTTTTCAGAGGGGTAGGTAGGTAGGTATACCACCAACCAGTTTCTTTTGGGTAATTGATTTCTTTCATGATGTTACATGTGTTCCAACATTTTATTTTTCCCAACATTTTTCCACGTAATTGATTGCCATTTTACTGTCATGACATTCGGACATTTCAAGCCAATTGATCTCAGTTGATTCGTGTTGGACTTGCTTGCAAGGTGGTCATCCATGGGACTGGTATATTTTAACTGTTTAGCTTATGAATCGTATAATGTAATATGATGAATATATATATATATAATATGATACAGTATAATTTAGGGATAGGCTCCATCATCAATTTGGCCCATCTCTTTAGGAGTTTTATACAGGTTATTTATCAGTTAACTGGGGCATTATAATATAATAAAAGATTGGCAGCTAAATGTTTGGCAGCTTTTGCAGTACATCGATATTTTGTGGGTGTGAATTCGATATGCCGTCTGGGATTGGATTATTGTTGGGAAACTAGTCGTCCTAGTGTGAAGTGTCATGTACCCTGCGGTAATCAAACATGGCTGGGAAATCCTGTACTGAATGGAGGCTGGCTGGCAAACTAGTGGAAGTGGGGAATGTCAATTGCCAAGTTTGACTACCAGACAGGGTATATCCAGCTGAAGATTAACTTGCTACTGTACTTTGATATCTAACGACACCAGCCATGCAGTTCGAAAATCCGTGATATTCTGTGTGTCAGCGCATGGACCCTTGGAAGTGCAGTTCCAGTGAGCTGTTCGTGGATAGTTGGGCCCCATATCCCGACAAACATGGGGGTTTATGATCATGGTTACAGGTGATACCCATTATACATATTTATTAATCATGAAAAACCAGTTAAAGATCTCAAGAATCTCTGGCCCTCTAGATCATCCCGATCCCACGAAAACCGCCAAAGAATTTCCATTCACCATTGATGTTTACCCCTGGCCGCCTGGTGCAGTCTCAGCTCAAGTCTTGGTCGCTCTACTGGTTTTTTTAAAGCGTCCTTCTTGCGCGAAAGTGCACTGGAGCTGGCTCACTAGGCATCGGCAACAACCAACTGCTGCGGGTTTTTAATGTGAGAACCCAATGAGCCTACCATTGGGTGATGGTAGTTACCTATTTATAGTGATTTTGGGGATGATTTATTATTGGGTTTACCACATAACCATGGGATTTTACATGATTTTACCCTCCCAGAGCTGGGAATGGGACATAGGCATTGTGTAAACCCTAGAATCATGATTACACAACCTTATCGAAGGAAGTTTAGAAGTCAAAGTTCCGACAATATGGACAGATGGAAAAGCAGAGGTGGGAAGAGTCAGAGAAGAGAAAGGAAGAAGAAAAAACAGAGAAGAGAAAGAGTCAGAAGAAAGAACATCAAAGTGCACGTTTTTGTTTTCCAATGTTTTGTCGCTCCGGAGGGTCGAAAAGTAGGCTTTTGCGGAGCCATCTGGGGGGATGAGAGATCGAAAATTGCACGGTGTTGTGGCGCGAAGCAGATTTGCAAGTCAAAATGCTAAAAACACCTCATTGTCAGACACCTTTTGGAAGTTGAGATGCCGAAAAAGTGCATGCTGCTGTGATCGAAGTCAAAATGTGAAAAACACAGTGGGTCCGGGCACTTTTGGAAGTTGAGGTGTTGGAAAAGTGCACCCCGCTGTGGCGCGATGCACATTTCGAAGTCTAAGAATGAAAATGTGAAAAACACATTGGGTCCGTTGGACGTTGAGACGTCGAACAAGTGCACGCCACTGTGGCACGAAGCACAGTTCGAAGTCAAATCAAAAGTGTTAAAAACTGACGGTCTCGGACCGTTCGTGGATGTTGAGATGTCGAAAAAGTGCACGTTGTGGTGGCGCGAAGCACATTCCGATGTCAAAAGTGCTAAGAACTGACGGTCTCGGACCACTTGAACTTTTGGACGTTGAGATGTTATAAAAGTGCATGCCGTTGTGACACGAAGTACATTCGCAATCAAAAAGTGTTGGAAACTGGAAGTCTCGGGCCACTTTTGGATGTTCAGATGTCGAAAAAGTGAACACCAGCACCAACACCAACAGTCACACCACAACTCCAACTACAACTACATGACACTACAAGACACTACAAGACACTTCAAGACTCTACAAGACACTACAACAACCACAACAACTACTACTGCTGCTGCTGCTGCTACTACCACTACTTCTAGTACTACTATTATTATTTTTATAACCGCTACAACTACTATTACGGCTACAACTACAACTACAACAACAACAACGGCTACAACAACTACAACTACCACTAGCACTACCATTACACTACAACCCAAAAACCACAACTACAACTACCACTACTGCTACCACTACCACTATCACTACACTACACTACAGTACGCTACACAATTTGCACTACAACTACAACTACCACTTCCATTACCATTACAACAACAACAACAACTACTACTACTGCTGCTGCTGCTGCTGCTGCTACTATATACTCATGCTACTGCTACTACTGCTACAGCTACCGCTACCGCTACAGCTACCACTACTCTACACTACAACTA